CACTTTTGGGACACTTTCTCTCCACCCCTCCCCCACTTTAGCCAGACCACCTCCTCTAGTATGTGCTTTATATATTGATCTTATGAGCCCAATGTATTGTTTGAATAAAATATTTCCATCAGGTGTTTTTTTTAAGCTACTTAACTAATGAGAAAAGAACCCAGAGGAGGTGATTTGCCCAAAGTCATGCAGCAAGTGCATGGACGCAGTCCCTGGGGGCCTCAGTTCCGAAATCATGAGTCCAAGCACCTCCATGGAGCGGGCGAGGGGCACTGCCCCCAGCTGGGCAGCTGGCACGTCTACTCTCCCCCTCACCTCCAGCCGCCTCAGCGGGAAGGCAGTCACCAGGCTCTTTTAAAGCACATTCCACTGGGGCAGGAACAGAGGATAACCCAGGCCCAATTAGGAACCAGAAAATCTCACAGAGGGTGAATGCCCAGGGCAGGGGGGGCTCGGGCAAGGGCCCAGCTTCCCACCAGCCTCACAGTCGAAAATCTTCCTAAAACAACCCTTTGGCTGCCTCGAAGCATAATTAATCTTCCTTTGATGACTCCGGATCTCACCCTGACTGGGGCCACTCTGAGGACATCAATCACTGCTGGACCCTGGTGGGGAGCCCAGAGGAGGGGCTGGGCCTGGGTTACCAGCTGACCCTACCCTGGGGTGGGGGTGGGGGAGAAGGGGAAGAGGCTTTGCAGGGGAGGAGCCCAGGGGGAGCCTGGGGAGCTGGAGGCTGCCTGGGTGGAGAACAGGGCCAAGGGGGAGAATGGGAAGCCCCTCCCTACCCAGGAAGGGGGTCCCTAGGTGGGCCACCCCCTCACCCCCAGAGCAGGTGGGATGGAGCAGCCCCTAGGGATCTGTGGAGGTAGAAGCAGAGAAGTGAGCTAGGGGCGGGCAGGGCTGTTGGAGGCCGGGCTGGGTGACTCTGCTAAGGGAGGCAGTACAGGGCCCCTGGGCTGTGTAAAAACGTTGACTTCACCAGGCAGATGTGAGCTTAGGGCCGCACAACACCTCCCCTGCCACCTCCTGGCTGGAGGACAATGGGCAAGTTACTTAACCTCTCTGTGCCTCATTTCTTAATTTTTAATGCTAGAATAGTAACAGGGCTGCTGTGAGGGTCAGATGAGCTCGTGTTGGTTGCTGGAAAATGGGGACTCAGACCACAGTCTCTGGTGCAGACGGGGCTGGAGGAACATGGCTCTGAGAGAGGCTGGATGTTTTGTTCTGTCTAACTTGTTTGTATTTCCCACATTTTATGCATGAAACACATTATTACATAATTAAGATAATATTCAAAGGGAAAAAATAAAACAATAGAGATTTAGATTTGTCCCCAAAGGGAAGCAGTGGGTCAGAAGAGGAGCCTGTCCATTGAGATTGGGCTGGCAGGGGGGGCGGGGTCTGAGTGTTGGGTCTGAGGCTAGATAGGGGAACCCTGGCTGCCCCTGGAGCCCAGGGGAAGACAGCCTTGAGCCCTTGGGGACAAGTGCAGGTGACGATTTCTTCCTGGGCATGCCCCACCATTTCCTGGGAGGCACGTCTCCAGGCACCATGTCAAGAGGTCCAGGCAGGGAGGCCCATACATCTGCTCGTGGACAGTAGCGCCTCTCTGACTGTACTCAGCTCTGAGTCCTTAGATCATCAACTCAGAGATGACCCTGGGCCCTCCAGACTCAGTGAGACCCCTGCTCAGACCCCTCCTTCCTTAGGTGAGCCTGCCCAGCCCAGCCAGCATCCTGCTAGGCTCAGCCACACTGCAGCCAAGCCTTTGCTGAGGCAGCACTTCGAGGAAAGTTGGGCTTGACGGGTCCACAACGCTCTCCCTGCCAGGTGGCCGTTAATCCTCAAAAGAAAATCAAACATTAGCCCTGGAAACAGCTTATGCCTTATATAAGTCCCCCTGGGGCAAGACAAACACAGCTTGTTGGAGCTGAGCTGCCCAACTATAGCAGCCGCTGGACACTGGGACAGACAAGGGCTTCGGCCACATCGACCACCAGCCCTACCGAGGGAGCCAGGCGCAGCCACCAGGTGAGGAGGGATGGAGGCTCCCCCTGGTCCCTGCCAGGAATCCCTGGGGAACTCCCAAGGCCAGACCCTGCTTCCTGACTGCGACCGGCCAAGTCCCTTATGCCCTCTGGGACCTGCCTGAGCCCTTTCTGCTACCTCAGTGTAGTGGCCTAACCCCAGGGGACAGTCAAAAGCCAGGAGGCTCTGGGCTTGGGGATGCCTTTCCCAGCAGGCAAGCTGAGGCAACCCTGTATGTCTGCTCGGAGCAACCAGGGGCCTCCCCCCATCCCACCACCCACCATCCATCCCACCACCCACCCTTTGGTCCCAGCTGCGTGACCTGCACTGCCCCGTGCAGACAGCATGTGTGACCAGCCTGGCTGAGCACACACACACTCGTGCCCCAAATCCACACGCATCCACACGCAACCACACACCTGAGCTCACACAGCCGTACCCTTAACATCCAGCCTAAATAGACACATCCTGTACCCCTGTGGACACGCACTGTGACCCCCATCTATGCACGCGGTTGGCACACCCTTGTGCTCCACTCCCATGCCTGTGGATGCACCCAGCTGAGCCCCACCTCCTTACACGCTGATGCTCACACTCCTGGGCACACCCTCCCACCTGCGCTCCCGCACCCATCCCCACGCCCGCACATCGCACTCACCTGCGCGTGCCTCTCCCCCGTGCCCCGCCCCGCAGCTCTGGCGCATCTCGCTGGGCGCCATGACCTTCTCCAAGCTCGTGGACAGCGTGAACAGCACGGGTCCCTTCCAGTTCTTCATCATGGTCCTGCTAGGCCTCCCGATTCTCGGCATGGCCAACCACAACCTGCTCCAGATCTTCACAGCCTCCACCCCCTCCCACCACTGCCGCCCACCCCCCAACGCCTCCGCGGGGCTCTGGCTGCTCCCCGTGGGCCCGAACGGGAAGCCTGAGCCTTGCCTGCGCTTCGTATACCCACCCAACGCCAGCCTGCTCAACGACACCCAGGGGGCCACCGAACCGTGCCTGGATGGCTGGGCTTACAACATCAGCACCAGGGACTCCATTGTGACTGAGGTACGCCAGAGGCCACCCCCTGCTACCAGGCAGAGCGGGGGCCCTCACACCCTCAGCACTCAGGGACAGGAGGGCAGGCCGGGCCAGGGTGCTGCACGGGCGGAGAGGAAGGACCTGGGTGCGGACGCACACCAACCGAGAGGTTGGGCTTCTCCACAGCCAGTGCAAGCAGCCCAGCCTGTGACAGGCACAGCACTAAGCCCAGGGGTGCAAACTGCACCATTCTGGTTCCACAGGATCCACAGTCAAGTGGGGTCACGGCCACTACTGAAAGTACCCCACAGGAAAATGACCTTAGACTGTGGCCTAGCCCTGGGCTGGATGTGGGGGCGGGAGGCTTGGCAGAAGGAAGAAGGGAGGGAAAGGACAATTCTGTCTTGTTTGTGCAAAGGCCCCGAGGCGGGAGGTGAGTGGAGGAGACTGGACGGAGTGGAGGGTAGGAACATGTCCAAGCAGACCCAGAGAAAGTGTCCTCCACTCCCAGGCGCCCCTGGGCTCAGCCCCTTCATTCCTGCCTTCCTTAGTCACTGATCCTTCACCTGCTGTCTCGGGGAGTTAGAGTTAAATCAGCCTCTGAACGAGCTGGCAGGCCAGGCGGGAGACTGAGGTGGGAACTGGCATTTATTGTGCATCTACAAACCATCCGGCGCATTTTGGTGCTTTGCAGACATTGTCTCTCAGTTTGATTCCCACAGTGATATTTTGTTGAAGGTGATTTTATCTCCTTTTACAGATCAAAAAAACTAAGACTCAGAGAAGGTGGTATGAAGTTCCAGTACCACATAGCCGGTCAGTTTCAGGAAACAGAATTTAAAGCTAAAGCCCATTAGAGGCACAGGGGACTAGGGCTTCTGGAAGCTCAAAGAGGGAGGAGCCATAGAATGCTGGGGAGGCTTCCTGGAAGAGGTGGCATCTGAGCAGTGAACAGAGGTCAATGTTTCATTCTCCTTAAGGGACCATGAGCTCCTCAAGGGCAGGATCTGTTTTTGTTTCATTAGAAGAGCTGTGTTTCAAAGTCTTTACTCAGTGCCAGTCCTGTGCTGGGCACATGCTGTGCGTGGGCTCCTGGAATCTCAGGAGGTGGCATCTCCTGAGGGAAGTATTATTAGTATCTCCAGTTCACAAATGAGGAAACTCGAGCTCAGTCTGGTTCCGTGACTTTCCCAGGATTACACATGGTTAGGACCTGGCTGAGGTAGGATCTGAACCCAAGACTCCCTATGTTCAGTCTATTATTGCTTTTCATTTGTTTAATGAATATTTGTTTATATATAAAGCATTTATTGTGTGTCAGGCACTGTTCTAACTGTTGTATAAATATGAACACTTCCAACCGTCCTGACTGCACTATCGGGTAGTTAGTATCATAGGCCTATTTTTCAGATGGGGGAACTGAAGCACAGAGAGGTTGAGGAGCTTGTGCATGGTCACACCTCCTGGCCCCAGAGCCTGTGCTCCTAACCGTAACATTCGCTGACTCTCATGTCCCCCAGATTGCATTTCCTCCCTGTCAAAACATAGTGCCTGACATGCACCCAGTGTCCAACAAACACGTACTGAGTGCTGCGTGCGCGGTGCTGAGGCCGCAGAATGAAAGAACACCTGACCCCTTCCCGCCGTGCAGGGGCTCACCTCCCCCGAGTCAGGCCCAGCCCTCCGGGATTCCGCCAGTGGAGCGGCCCTGCAGGCTCCCGAAGCGGGTTGTCAGCGCCTTGCTGTACCCCCGCAGCTAGAGCAGCGCCCCGCACAGGGGAGGGCTCTGTGAAATAAATATTTGTGGAGTGACGGGACATGAGCTTTATAAACTCAGAGTGCTCTGGGAGCCCAGAGGAGAGGCATCTAACCAGCCTGGAGGGGGACCCAGGAGGGCCCGCTGGAGTCAGCAACACAGGCGCCGAGTGTGAGGAGTCAGGATGAGAGTGGGCCGCAGCCTGAGGGGCGGGAGGAACAGTGTGCGTGGAGGCAAACGCACAGTCACAGAAGCGTGGAGAAAACACAGCAGCCAGGACTGCAGGAGACCGAGGAAGGCTGGAGGAGTGGGCATGGAGGCCTCCAGACGGGGCTGGAGGGGACAGGGGGAGGGCCTGGCTTGGATGCTAAGGAGAAGCTGTGGCCTCTCCCCAGGCGACAGGGCGTTGAGCAGTAGCACGGGGCTCTCAGATCACCTCCAAAGGATGGTCACTCTGACTGCAGGGTGGAGAGTTTCCGTCTGGCGGCAGGGAGACCAGTCAGCAGGTTGCCACAGGCCTCCAGGACGGAGACAGCACAGGGACAATGGCGTTGGAATAGATACCGGACAGGTTAGGGAGTCCCAGACATCTATGGGACTTTGGAACTGAGTGGATTTCGGGGAGACGGGAAGAAACCCAGGCAGTCAGGTCCCAGAGCAGCCCACGCCCCTTGCTCCGTAAGAGGGCGTAAGTCAGACCCTCGGCCCGAGAGACTGGCTGGGAGCCTGCAGCCCCACGGAGGCCGTTGCTCTTGGATCTGCCTCTCCCACTAGTGGGGACTCCTGCAGGGCGGAGAAGGTGCCTCTCCCACGCATCTGTGTCATCACTGGGCTAGATGCACAGTAAGTGCTCAGCTAACACCGAATGAAGGCCATGCCCTCTCAGAGCTGAGCAGGAGACGCTGGGAAGTGGCTTCCCCTCCAAGACTCCGGAGAGCCTGGCCCAGAGCAGAGGTTTCCCATCAGGGCTCCGTTCGCATCCACCCAGCGGAGCTCACGCGGTTGGGGCTGAGTGAATCCGCATCCCAGGAAACGCAGCGTCCCGCAGGTCTAGGGCCCTGCACCACACTCAGGTCGGTCTGGCTCAGGTCTGGCTCCTTGAGGACTCTCAGCTGTGACAGCCCAGAGGAGGGGCCCCTGCCCAGCCAGGGAAGTGGCAGTGGCAGGACCCAACCAGACGCTGATACCTGCGCAGGAGGGATGAACCCCTCCGATTTTACCGCGTGTGGTTCAGTTCGTGGCACATCTGTGCTCCGCGTGCGAGGGCTGGGATGGATGGGGTCGGTCCCCCACGTGGCAGAGGCGAGCAGTGGCTGGGCCTCACCTGGGGGCGGGTCTCCAGGCAGGAGGCAGGCGCAGAGTGGCGTTGAGGAAGACAGCATCGGGCACCACGCATCCTGTGACCCTGGTCAGCGGAGGTGAGGGGCCGTCCCCACGTGGACCGTGTGGAGTTGGGAGCCAGGTCAAGCGGCAGAGTTCACGTCCTGACTCTGCCATTTTCTAGGGACGTCACAACCCCAGAAGTCTCAATTATCTTGTCCATGAAATGGAGTAGAGAGCAGGTGCGCATGCGAAAGGAGATCCTGGGAGGACAGCGGTGACGCAGGGCCCGGCACCCCCAGAGCATTCGCGGATGTTCACGTTCGTCACCGCTGATGTTACTATTACTGTTGTTGTTCATAGAGATGGCCTGGACCTGGGGGGGGGTTCTCCACACCACAGAGTAGGGGACCCCCAGTAAAGGAGAATTCAACTGTCACAGCTCTCCCCAGGCCCAGAACTTTGCCTCACTCTGAGGCCCCCTCTAGCCCTCCTCCCCTGGAAACAGCACAGGTCCCCGCTCCAACCCCATAGCCGGGGACCTGGTAAATCACCCCCCCTCCACTCCTGCCCCTCATCTGTTGAATGGGACAGTAAGGGCGAGGGGAGGGGCGAGGCTGAGGGCTGTGCTGGAGGTTGGAGTGGCCACAGGGTCCCAGATCCCACCCCCTCTGGTCCCCTGAGCTTTCCAGGCAGAGGCGACCAGCATTCGTTTCTCTGGGTAGAGCAGAGATGAGGTTGGAATTTTTCAGGAGTGTTACTAAGACGTTAAGAGGAAACAAAGGGCTTTCTTTTAAGTCTGGGGATGTGGGGAACATGGATTGTGAATGAAGGCCAGGCCCTGTCAGAGCCCAGCAGGAGACACGTGGCCACTGCTGACTGTTCAAGGGCGGCTTACCCTCCAGGGCCCGGAGAGCCTGGCCAAGGGCAGAGGTTACAGGTCTCATACCCTACAGTGCATCAGCTTATGTCCTTGCCAGCCACCTTCCCAGTCTTAGCTGGGTCCCCGTGGGCTCAGATTCCCTGGAGAGCAGCCATGGCCACAGCTCCCAACCACTGAACCTTCGCCCTGTGGGTCTGGGCATCCTGAACCCAACCTTGTGGCCTTTGGAGGCCTGGGTCTGACCTTGCACGAGCCAGCCCATCCTTCTAAATTCCCTGCTATTCCCTTCTGGGCCTTGAGCCTTCCTGTTCTATCTCCAAGGACACAAGAATCCTGTCCCCCCACATAGGTCCCCAGAGGCCCCAAGTCAGCTGCTGGAGGAGCTGCCCAGTGGATGCTCGTGGAAGCAGGTCTCCACCCTGGGAGGTTCCCCTGCTGAGTAACTGGCCTTTCTCCATCCCCACATCCCCAGGCTGCCCAACTCCCAGACCACCCGTCCATCTCTGCGTCCAGCTCTACCCCAGCTGCACTTCGCCCCTTGCTCACCTCAACCCTGCTCTGGGCACTCCTCCCATCATCTCCAATCTGACTCCTGGGTAAGCACTGAGACCCCATCTCAGCCATGTTTCTGGCCCGGCCTGACCCCAGTGATAGCCATCATTTAGCCCTAAGCATGTACACAGGAGGGGCTGCCCTCTGGGCCCTCCAAGGTCAGACACTTACTCAATGAGCACCTACTGTGTGCAGGACCCTGGGCTGGTGCTCTGCACGTCTCTCATGAGCTGCAAATCAGGCACTGAGGACATTGTCCCATTTTACACTGGGCTCAGATCCAGAAGTCAAACTTTTATAGGACGAGGGACAGGGCCCTGACTCCCGAAGCCATACCCTTTCTCCTTGTGAGCACAGGCCTTACAATGCATGTGACAATAATAATAAAATAGCTCTTGTGTAGTGAGCACCAATTGTTTGCCAGGTATAGAGCTGGGCGTGTTTTATTCTTTATGTTATTTATAATCCTGAGAAGCAGGTACTGGCATTACCCCCAGAGTGCAGACAAGGAGACTG